CAGCATTTCACCATGTTGGCCAGGTTGGTCTCGAACTACTGACCTCAGGTGATCCACCCACCTCAGCCTCCCAAAGTGCTGGAATTACAGGCATGAACCACCACCAGCCTAAATTACTTACTTCCTTTAAAAAAAAATGTTACTTTTTTTTAAAGTAACGTAGGTATTCACATCCATGGTGGTTTGCTGCATCCATCACCCTGTCATCTGCATTAGGTATTTCTCCTAATGCTATCCCTCCCCTAGCACCCCACCAAATTACTTATTTCTTGATGTATGGAGCCCGTATGCATTTGAAAACTGATCTAGGTTCAGTGGTGGTGGGTACAGCCATGAATCAGGCAAACAAAAGCTATTTAGTCTAATAGGGAAAATGGAACCAAACTCATAAACAAGCAAATGAACAAATAAGACAATTTGGATAGTGATGAGTGCTATGAAGAAAACAAAATCTGGTAATGGGATGGATGGTGGCTGAGAGAGAGTTGGGGGGAGAAAAGGGACAAGGTGGTCAGGAAACTGGAAAGGTGATATCTGGATCAAGATCAGAGGAGGGGAAGGAGCTAGCCTTGCAAAGAGCCAAGGGTGGTAGTGGGGGATGCACGGGGGAGTATTCCAGGCAAAGGACCAGCGAATGCAAAGACCCCGAGGCAGGAAGGAGCTTGGGACTACAGTGCAGGGAAAAGGCAGGAGTGGGGCTAGTGAGAGATAAGATCCAGGAGTTAGGCAGCCAGATTATGTAGCAAAGAATTGGGGGTTTATTCTAAGGAGAAGAAGCTGCAGGAACTGACTGTATTTTTGAAAGATCACTCTGTCTACCATGAGGCAAATGGAAGAGGCAGTGTATGTAATAAAAATTTATATTTGATCCAGGCATGGTGGCACATGCCTGTAGTGCCAGCTATTCATGAGGCTGAGAGATAGGATCACTTGAGCCCAGAAGTCCAGCCTGAGCCACGGAGCAATACCTCAGTGCTACAAAAAAGAATAAATAATATATGTACACACACACACACACACACACACACACACACACACACACACAGTTTCTGCTTGCAGTTCCTGGCATAGAGCTTCTAAAACCCTTGTAATTTCCTGAAACAGAGTTCCTAATCCCTTGGAATTTCCTGGGTGACAGGACAGTCTTTTGTTCTAGTGAAGGGACTCTTGGTGGGTCCCTGCATGGAGGCTGGTCACTAGATAGACTAAACCATGATTAGATGCTTGCAACTTTCAGCCCTACCCTTCAGATTCTAGGAAAGGGAGAAGGAATGGAGATGGAGTTAATCATCCATCATGCCTTCGTGATGAAGTCTCCATAAAAATCCCCGAACTAGGAGGTTGGGCAAGTTTCCAGGTAGGTGAACCCATCCACTTGCTGAGAAAGCAACTCACCTCAGCTCCACAGGGACAGAAGCTCCTGCACTCAGGATGTTTCTAAACTTTGCCTATCTAAGTCTCCACTTGGCTGCTCATTTTATCCTTTAAAATGTCCTTTGTAATAAATAGGCAATAGTAAGTAAGCTGTTTTCCTGGGTTCTGTCAGCTGCTCTTGCAAATTATTGAACCCAAGAAGGGAATCATGGGAGCCTCTGGTTTGCAGCCAAGTTGGGCAGAAGTTGTGGGGAAGCTGGCAACCGATGACTTGCAATTGGTGTCTGAAGTAGGGGGCAGTCTTGTGGCTTTGTGCCATTAATGTGGGGGTCTGTGCTAACTCCAGTTAATGGCAGAGTTGAATTGAATTGTAGGACACCTAGCTGGTGTTGAAGAATTGGTTGTTGGTGGGGAAAAGAATCAAATATTTTTGTGACCAGAGTGTTCTGTGTTGAGTGTAAGTAAAGAAAAAGCAGTTTGGCTTTTTGCTCTAGTGGAAGGGACAAGAATGGAGCAGGAAGACCAGTTAGGAAATTAATGAAGGAGTCTAGGGGAGACACTATGGTGACCCTAAGTAAGGCGCTGACAGTGCCCACTGTGGGGATGGTGAGATGTGTTCAGATTTAAAATATGTTTAAGAGATCTAACCTCTAGGACTTGCTGGTAGATCATTTCATTTTCCCTAAATATTATCTCTCTTAAGCTACATTTCCAAAGCTTTTCTGAAACAATTTTAGGTACAAGCTTCTTGCCCTCACCTCGCTACTCATATGTACACCACATACCCATCTTATGCCTCAGAAAAATACCCCCCACTTTTCTTTCTTTTTCTTTTCTTTTTTGAGACAGAGTCTCACTCTGTTGCCAGGCTGGAGTACAGTGGTGCGATTTTGGCTTGCTGCAACGTCCACCTCCTGGGTTCAAGCTATTCTCCTGCCTCAGCCTCCCAAGTAGCTGGGACTACAGGCACGTGCCTCCATGTCCAACTAATTTATGTATTTTCAGTAGAGACGGGGTTTCACTATGTTGGCCAGGATGGTCTCTATCTCTTCACCTTGTGATCCACCCGCCTCAGCCTCCCAAAGTGCTGGGATTACAGGCATGAGTCACCATGCCCAGCCTACCCTTCTTAAATAACATTTGGTCCTAATGGCTTACCCTGCCATTTATTCCAGGGTACCAAATGCATCCCAGTCACTGCTGTGTTTGCAGAGCCCAGAAGTAATTCTTAGCTAACTGTTCCCAGGCTTTACAATTCATAGCCTCCTACAGATGCCTAGAGAAATTCATTTCATACTTGTGCATAACTCTGCATGCCCAAGACTTCTGCACCTTGGAGAGTCTACTCCATAAGCCTCCAGCAGCCCCAGTAACAGTCAGTTGATGGTTATCAGGGCCCAGCTCAACTTTTGCATGATTCATTTACTCAACTCTTTGCCACTCTCAAGAACAGAACTATTAGTAGCATCAGCCTATGGCTGACGAAAACAGTTCATAGAAGTGTTCTGCAAATTGTGAGACAACACTCAGCTAGGATTTAAGATGGGTGGAGCTCAAGGGGACTGGAACTTCTGGCTCCATGGAGAACAGCTTCTCCAAGAACTGCTGCCCCAAGAACAACCCTTTCCCCCTCCTAGTTAATCATCAGAGTTAGAACACAACTCTGGAGCCAAATTGCCTGGAATGGAATCCAAGTGTCACTACATTTTAGTTGTGTTACCTGGGGCAAAGTATTTAATATCTCTGTGCCTCTGTTTCCTCATCCATAAAAGAGAGAACTACAGACTCCTAGAGAAATTTATTTCATACTTGTGCATGACTCTTTGCATGCCCAGGACTTCTGCACCTCGGAGGGTGCACTCCATAAGCCTCCAGCAGCCCAGTAACATTCAGTTAATGGTTACGTGGGCCCAGCTGATTACAAAGACGTTTACGGGATTCATTTAGTTAACTCTTTGCCACTCTCAGAGAACAGAACTATTAGTAGCATTATCCTATGGCTTGGCTCTAAAATTGTTTCAGAAAAGCTTTGGAAATGTAGCTCAAGAGAGATAATATTTAGAGAAGATGAAATGATCTACCAGCAAGTCCTATTGATTGTATCTCTAAAATATGTTTTAAATCTGATCATCATAATGCCATCCTCATTATATGTAAGGATTAAGTGAATGACTACTTGCAAGGTGTTTAGAATAAAACCTGCTATAGAACAAGTGCTATATAAGTATTAGCCATCATATCTCGTCATCATTATTCTCCTGACCCAACCACTGACACATCATCCTCATTTTATATTTGTGCAAGAGAATTTCAGCTATGTGATTACTAAGCCATTACCAAAAGCCCCTGGGTAGATGTCTGTTGAGTTGGTTGTTAAGGTAATGCATAGCAAACTCATTACAAAAAAAAAAGTTGGTGGGGCAAAGTGATGAGGTGATTGTCAGAGATACTAAAGGGACATTTAATAAGCTGTGATTAATTTACTCTGAATAATGCATTGAAGCATGAAGACATTTTCAAAGCATTATTTGGATTAAATTACTTACTGTTCCAAGGCTCATTTCACTAACCAGGAAGTGTATGGGGTGGATAGAGATGAGTCTGTTCTTTCCAATATCTGTTTAGATGTTGACATATACTGCTCCCTGGCAACTCAGGGTTAAGGTCCTGCACCTCAAGCTCTTGTCTTTATTTAACTGTTTTTAGTACTACAGCTTTTAGGATATCTACTAGTCAATATGGACTGCATTTATCTGTGATAACAAGAGCAACACATTTCAGCAGCAACAATGATCAAGTTTATTTCCTGTCCATTCCACATGTTCATTGTGGGAGGAACAAGAAGGTTCTGCTTAGCATAGTCATTGAGAAACAAGGCTGATGGAGGATCCACCTCAGCATGCTTCCTTGATCATAGGGGCTGGGGAAAGGAAGCGTGCATGCCAAACCACATGTTGACTCTTGAAGCTTTTGCCTGGAAATATCCCATCACAGTGCTCATGTTTTATTGGTCAGAACAAGTCACTTGGCCAGGACTGGGCTTAAAAGGGAGAGTATGTGCAATCTTCCTGCAGGCAAGTGCCCCAAATATTTGAAGACAATAATATAGGCTACTGTAGGAAAGATCTGACTGAAAGCAGAAAACCCATCTAAAATTGGCTTAAATAATTGAGGGGTTATTTTCTCACACAAAAAAGAGAGTCTGGAGGTGGATCAAGGCCCAAGGTGGTAAATGTGGCATCTCAAAGATGCCTTCAGGAATGCACTTTACTTCCATCCTCCTACTTTACCATCTATAAGATGCTGCCCATATCTCCCTTCATGGTTACAAGACGGCTGCAGCAGTGCCAGACATCATGGGTAGACCAGAAACATCCAGAGAAGAATAGTAATGTTTCCTCCATTAGCCTCATATTGTTTTGTTTTTAATTTAAAAATTAGGCCGTGAGTGGAGGCTCATGCCCATAATCCCAGCACTTTGGGAGGCCGAGGTGGGAGGATGGCTGGAGCCCCAGAGTTCAAGGCTGCAGTGAGTTGTGATAGTACCACTGCACTCCAGCCTGGGCAACAGAGTAAGACCCTGTCTCTAAAGTAAATAAATAAATAAATAAAAAGTAAAAATAAAATAAATTCATATTTCCAGTCTGATTCAGGCACTGTGCCCAGCATGCATTTCAGGGCCTCATCCCAAAATTCATCACAGTTCATCATATGACTCTTCACAAAACTACTCTTGCATTTTTGAGAAAATCCTTCTCAGACCCCCAGCTTACCTTCTCTTGGGTCCCATTAGCCTCAATGAAATCATATGTCCATGACTTAGCTAGTCATTGGCAAAAGGAATAAGACTACCCTGGCTACCTTCTGGGGTAAGAAAAGGCCTATACTCCCTTTGTATGAGCAACTCTGTTTTCTGTAAGAAATATGGCACTAAACATAAGAATCAGGTAAATGTAACCTTATTTCACCAATTATGCGAAGGTCCTTTTTTTCAGAGTGTAAATAAAGAGGGACCACAATGTTCGTTAATGAAAAGCCTTCATTTGTGCTTATGTAATTAATTTACAGTGGAACAACTATGGGCAAATAAAGCAGTCAAAACAGGCACTTAATAGGGAAGGATCATTTACTGAAGCATCAGGGAAATAAGAAACTACTTTGGGTTGATATTACATCCGTCTCAAAAGAGTTGACCAAAAGAATTCACCACTCCCTTCTCTGTGACCCCCACACACTACAGTCTCCATTCTTCATCATTTCACCCACCACACTTACCACATTTTATTGCCTTTATCTGTACCTGTCTGTCTCCACCTGCAAGACTGTAAGCTCCTTGAAAATATAATCTGTCTCATCTTTTGATTCCTGGGCGTAATATAAAACAGCAGTGGCTAAAATCAACTAACTCACTGTGTCAGAGAATCCATTCGAAGTTCTAAATAACTTGACTCTTTAGTATTCACAACATCCTATGAGCCATGTGTTATTATGTGTGTTTTATAAATGAAGAGATGGAAAGTCAGCAAGTTAAGTCCTTCAGCAAACGTACACAAGAATCAAATGGGAGAGTTGGGTTTCAAATGAAGGCAGCCTAATCGGGTTATGATTAGCACATATGCCCAACAAATGGGTGAACCCAATATGCTTTAATATACAGTAGGAAGGAGAAAGAGAGAACAAGGGCGAAGAAAAAGTGATATATTTTATTTACACATAGAATATAAAATCAAGTATGATAGACATATTCCATGAGGGTAGAGATCGTATAAGTTTCACTTGCTTAGTGTGGTAGCCCTAGCACACAGTACGTATTCAGTAATTCCTGGAAATGGGAGAGGAAAGGAGAGATGAAGGGAAGGATGAAAGAAAGAAGGGCAGCAGGAAGGAAGAGATCAAACAAATAAACACAACGAATGACCTCTTTCTCTTGCTTTCTATTTTTCCTCCCTTCTCTTCCTCCATTATTTACATGTATAACTTTACTTCCTAAATCAACCTCTTGCCTAGGATAGGAGGAAGTGGTAGAGGCTCTAAGTATAAAGGTTCTCAAAGAGAATTTAAATGCAACATTGTTACAGAGTAACAAGTCCTCTCTGCTGCCCTTATTCATTTGGCTTTTGAAACAATGTGTCTTGTATAAAGTAGACTTTTCCTCAAACTAAAACATTTTTTAACAGTTTGGACTTGTGCTTTTTCTTCTAATAGTATGCTGCTTAAAATGTCAAGGCAATGCAGGGATGCCAATTCCCACATGGGCATATTGATTTTTTTTGTAAAAATTAATGCAGGCTGGGTGTGCTGGCTCATGCCTGTAATCTCAGCACTTTGGAAAGTCAAGGAACCAGATCCCCTGAGTTCAGGAGTTCGAGATCAGCCTGGCCAACATGGTTAAACCCTGTCTCTACTAAAAATACAAAAATTAGCCAGGCATGGTGGTGCATGCCTGTAATCCCAGCTACTCAGGAGGTTGAGGTAGGAAAATCACTTGAATCTGGGAGGCAGAGGTTGCAGTGAGCCAAGATTGTGCCACTGTACTCCAGCCTGGGTAACAGACTGTCTCAAAAACAAACAAACAAAAAACAACTATGTCTCGAAAAAAAAAAAAAAAATCAATGCAGGGCCATAGCCATAAGCAAACGAACAGCAATAATTAAAGGCTAGGAAATGACCACTGTCTGTTGATGGGACTATTACTCCAAAGCTCCTCTACAAAAAACTGGTTATGTTACACAGATAATAGTCTGTGAACACCAAAAGCACTATTTTTTTCTTCTTGCTTTCAGCACTATTGTCATAGAACTCTGCTTTCAGAAATTGTTTCAAACAGCCATACTGACTTAACATTTCAGATTCAATCTTTAGACCATACAGAATCCTCACTCTAGTTTCGATAAGCAGAGTGCAATCATGATGAAACTGAAGCACTGCATTCAGAATTTAGGTGTTCCTATTCGTAATGGATGTCCAAGTTTCGGTTGTTAATTTTGTCATTTTGATTCCTGTCTAGAAAGCTAATTTTTAAAAGTATCTTTTTGTTCTAGGTTTTCTTTTTTTTTCTTTTCTTTTTTTTTTTTTTTTAAGAGACAGTGTCTCACTCCGTCACCCAGGCTGGTGTGCCGTGGCACAATTCTTCTCACTGCACGCTCAGCCCCCTGGACTCACAAAATTCTCCCACCTCAGCCTCCCAAGTAGCTGGGACCACAGGTGTGTACCACACCAGGCTAATTGTTATTACTATTATTTTTTTCTGTAGAGATGGGGTCTTGCTATGTTGCTCAGGCTGGTTTCAAACTCCTGGCTAAAGCAATCCTCCGGCCTCAGCCTCCCACAGTGCTGGAATTTAGGCATAAGCCACCATACCCAGGCTTTTGTTCTAAAATTGAACAAGAACTTCATGAGTATACAAATATTCTGACTTTTTTGTTTTGTTCTTCATTCTGAGATTACTTGGATTCCATTCAAATGTATTTAAGTTATTGGGATTTTTTTCTTTTTCCAGAAATGAACTCATTGACTTTTCTTCACCCTGATTTTCTCCTCCTGGCTTCTCTTTCTTGGTCGATGGCACCATTATCCACTGTGATCCAGCCCAACACCTCAGCCACTTCTGACCTCTCACGTTATTGCCATATATATCCAGTTAGCCACCAAGTCCAATTGTTCAGTCTCTAGATCGGTCATTTTCTTTTCATCCTCATGTCAAGGACTCCAAGTCAAGCCTTCATCATCCTCTCTTAGAACATTGCAATGACCCTCAAACTGGCTTCCACTATTTGTCTCTTATTCTTCAACCATCTTTTATATTTTTGTTCCATTGTTTTCCCAAAAGAGATTTATTATATTTCTCCCTTGCTCAAAAACCTACAATGGCTCACTATTACCAATTTTTTTAGTCTTTAAAAGTCAAAGTCTTTAATGGTATTGGAAACCCTTCTTCAGTTTATTCCAACCAACTCTAGCAACTTCGTCTCCTGTCACTCCCCATCATCACCTTGATTATTCCTTCATAGGTGTGTTTTCCCCAGATTTATCATGACATTTCTTAATTCTATCTGTCTGGCAAATTCCAAATTACCTTTCAATGCCTTGCTCAAATGCTCTGTCCTTTTATGGAAACTTCCTTGTTCTCCAGGCAGAATTAATCCCTCTTTTCTGTGCTCCCATAGCATTTTGTTCAGATTCTTATTATGACCTTTATTGGGTTCCCAGAAGCAGTTCATGAGCGGAGGATTTGTAGGGAAGGGTTTTGTTAAGGAAATGCTCCCCAAAGAGTCTGGCAAGTGAATGAGGGAAGTAAGACAGGGAAGAGAAAGAGACCAAGCAAGGGTGAGAAATTTGGTGAAAGTCCCGAGGCGAATAGCCCAGCTCTACTCCATAGGGAAACTCTGGCCATTAATTGATATCCTTCTCTAAGACGAGGGAGCTGGGCTTGCTTTCTCCCACACTGAGCAACCACTGGCTAGGGAGTCAGTTCCCAAGCACTTCCTGCTCTCTGCATGCATTTGTACACAGCAGCCCAAGGGCAGCCACCAAAAGAGTCCAGGGGCAGGCCAATGGCAATGAAAGCACATCAGAGCAGATGGAGGAACACAAAGAAATGGTAAAAGAAATCCCATAGTACCTGGGAGGAGGCTGACAATGTCAGCTATGCTTCTTAGTATAGTTTGCCTTGTATCCACCTAATCAGGCACAGTCATCCCCTGCCTCCAGCCAGTGGATGCTAAAGCACTTAGGAGCAAAGACTGCATCTTAGCCATCCTGGTGTCCCCACAGCAGGTAGGATATCACTTTGTGCCTGGAAAGTGATTAAATAGCATTTATTGATTCAAATGGAATATTCCTCCTGCAACATTTTGCTTCTACGAATCATTCTGCAGAAATTTTTTTTTCCTTAGCTGGTTTTAGGTCAACAACAATAAAATGTGAATTCTGGAGTTTCAAAACCTCAAATCTTCAACTTTTCACCTCGCACTTTTATTCCTGGGGCAAAAACTTGCTCAGCACATCTCTTCCTAAATTCCAAGACAGGCTGCTTGTTCTGTTCAGTCAAGAATGCCAACCCAAGAAACATTTTTGAAAGATCACAGTCAATGTCATTGCCAAAAGAAGAAGCTCTTGGCACACAAAGAACCTGGTTCAATATGAGACGCCAGATGGTGATTTTAACTTCAGCTAAATTCCTGCTGAAAAGTGTTTGAACTGCAGATGAGAAAAGCTTCTATGACAAATTTCCAAGTGTTAGAAGCTTCTGAGGAAAATGGCAAGTGTTGATTCCCCCCTCCCTGTAACCACCACCAACCACACGCACACATTCCATGGAACATACTTGCATCTGGTAGCTAAGATTCCAAACAAGATGTCTTTGCCTTTTAAGAAGCCTATGGACCCTGATTTGATCTTTACTAAAAGCATATTAACTGAGTCCATTGGAAGCAAATACCATTTGATTTCAAAGGGTGTTTTCTTTTAGCATCAGAGACAACTCTTTCCTGTCTACCAATAATTCCATTGTTAATTGGTAATTATCGAATAGTCAGCTGATACTCAGTGTGTCTCCCCTCCCTAAATACTTTCAAATTCCAGGAGATATTTGTGAAGCATAAACTGATGGTGCTCTGCCCAGATGCCCTTGAATATATTTTGCTGGTTCTGTGTGCTCACACCCCAGCTTCAGTGTGTTTGCTTTCTAATCATTAG